AAAAAAAAAAAAATGTTGTAGGTTGTATATGTTATCTAATAGAAGAAGAAGATGCTTAAAAAAACAGTTCTCTCAAGACATAAATAACAGCATTACTCCATATATGGAGGAGCTGTATAAGAAAGCTCCTGCTGCTGGGTACAGTGGCTCATGCCTGTATTCCCAGCCCTGTAGGAGGCTGAGACGGGAGGATTGCTTGAGCTCAGCATTTTGAGACTTCTTTGAGTGAGACTGAGACCCTGACTCATGAAAAAATTGAAAAACCCAGCCAGGCACAGCGGCAAGCGCCTGTAATCCCTGTGGTTCTGGAGGCAGTGGGATGTCCACAGCCCCGAATCTGGAGTTGTAGTAAGCTGTGACGCCATTGCACTCTGCTCAGCGCGTAGGGTAAAACTCTGTTCCAACAACAACAAAAAAAAAAAAAAAAAAAAAGGAAGAAAGCTTATGCTGGTATATAAGAGAATCCAGTCTATGAGAAGAAGCCCAAGAAAGAAGCTAAAAAGAAGGGTGGTAACTGGCTCAGTGAGTTGGGTGCCAGCCCCATATATGGAAGGTGGTGGGTTAGAACCTGGCTCCAGCCAAACTGTGACAACAATAAAAAACATAGCTGGCTGTTGTCACGGATGCCTGTGGGAGGCTGAGGCAAGAGAATTGCTTAAGCCCAAGAGCTGGAGGTTCCTGTGAGGTGTGACGCCATGGCACTCTACTGAGGGCAACAAAGTGAGACTCTGTCTCTTAAAAAAAAAAAAAGCTAAAAAGAAGAGATGGAACTGTCCCAGAATGTCCATTGTCCAGAAGAAAAATTGAGAAGCTCAAAAGAAGGGAAGCTTGGGTGGTGCCTGTAGCTCAGTGAGTAGGGCACTGGCCCATATACCAAGGGTGGCGGGTTCAAACTCAGCTCCTGACAAACTGCACACACGAGGGTGGTGGGTTCAAACTCAGCTCCTGACAAACTACAACAACAAAAAAATAGCCAGGCATTGTGGTGGGCGCCTGTGTTCTCAGCTACTTGGGAGGCTGAGGCAAGAGAATCGTCTAAGCCCAAGAG